TTGATCTATAGGCTGCTGCTAGGGTGAATATTTGAAGCGTGGTTTGTGCACTGTAGCGGGTAAAGGGTACGAACTTCTGCCTTCCCTCTGTTGTTCCAGAACTGCATACCAAGAAAAAAACAATATTCAAAGTAAAAAAGAAAAAATTATCAGAAAGTGGCAGGGGATCCTTCCATAAGTTCCATTCAGCATGAAAAGAGAAAGAAATACTTTACCAAAAAATAATAAAAAACAGTACTTACTAAAAATAAATAAATAAAATGCATAAAAAACTTTCATGGTGTATTAATTATTTATTTTTCAACATGTCATGAATAATAAACACTAGAACAACCATGGATTAAGCATATATAAATATAACCAATGAAATCTGGCAGAATATTATGTAGAGAGCCATATGTGGCCTCTATCCTTTTGTCCTGTATTCCGATCCCTATTTATTTTATGAACATGCCATAAATTAAAGAAAATCCAGCACTATAATGAATAATAGTTTTATCCCCTAAAGAGAAAAAGGTTTTAGTGAAAAAAAAAAAAAACTAAAGGTGATGGCACCTTAAGGAAAGAGTGGTTATGGGTTGTTGAGTGAGTAAAGGACCAGTGTCCCCATCTGCAATCCTTTGGATAAATGGCTCAAAGTCAGCATGGGAGGAAATGGGAACCACAGAAGAGAAAAGGGATTCTAATGCACATGCGTCCATCTCAAGGATATTGTAGTTCCCCAACCATTTCTTGAGATATTCCACCCCATAGTTTTGCTTCAGAATCTGGCACAGCAACTGAGTCTGAACATAACCAGCGTTCTGAGATACATCTTCAAACCAGCTTATGACATCATAGTCACAGTTGCCTTTACCATTGCCACTGTTGCAGCTGAGAGCAGGTTCCATCACAGTTGGTTGGTGCTGCGGCATGAGGAAGTGAGGTGCTAAGAGCAATAATAGTGTTGGTGGTGAAAGTTGTATCTCAGTGAGGGAAATATAGGAGGAGAAAAAACAAAGGAAACCCACTGTATTGTGTTGGTGGTGTAGAGCTTATATGTCTCCTACTTAAAAAGGTTCAACAAACTTCCGATATTTGCAGAAGTTTCACAGATATGATACAATACAAAAGATATAGACCACAAGAAATGGTATTATAAGGGGAGAGAAAGAAAGAAAAATATTCTTCCATAATGCAAGGATGATATGGGGACTACATTACTAATGGCCAGGGACCAAACAGTTTATATCACTCTTTCCCTCCAATTTATTGTGAGCCATCATATTTGAAAACAGAAGGATTAACATCCATTTTTTACCACTAAACTTTTTATGTTTTCAAATTTTATTTCAACTTCTTATCAAAAATCTAAAATTATGTATATATATTTTTTTCATGTAAATTGGTTGTCAAATTATTAATGATATGATGTCATAAAATGTGAAGTGGTTGATATGTTTTATATTTTAAATTATATATTTTATTATTGAAGTTTTACAATTTTGCAAATTTTATTAATTTTAATTTTCGATTTCATGATTTCTTTTCGCTTAACTTTTTTTTCCTTTTTTTTTTTAGTTTTGTAAAATTTACCTTCGCAAATTTTACCACTTCACTTTTAATATAAAATAAATGTGATTTGGTTTAATTTATTTTTAATTTAATATAAAATTTAAAGTAAATTATATTAATATTCATTACTTGGTTTTATGATTTTTGTTATGTTTAAACATTTTATGACTTTTTTTATGATTTTTATTGTATTCATAATTTTTATAAATAAATTATAATAGTCATATAATTAAAAGTTATAATTTAAAATTGCAATCATAGTTTTAATAAGTATAAATATATTGTAAATAAATATAATAAAACTAAAAACTAATTATTGTTCTCCTTTTTTATCGACTGAATCCATTTTCACGAGATTTGAGTAATTCTTATGAGCATTTAATTTTGAGAACATTACGATGATGATCATTATCCAATCCCTTTTAAGAAACGAGACTCGTATTAGAGGAGTAGGTTGGTATATAAATTTAAAATGGGTTCCATATTAAGGGAGTATGTTAGCCTGTGATCTTCACAAACCTTATCTTAAACCTAAAACTCTTAAAAATAATGTTACTTTAGTCACATCATCACATCTTTACTAATTTATCAATCAATTAACAAAGGGTAATAATATATACTTTTAAAATTCAAATGATAAAATTTAATGTTTAGTACGTAATAAAATTCACAAAATATATAATTAAAACTTTGGTGTTAAGATAAACAATTAAATAAGTTAATTTAGACTAATGTCTTGTTTTATGTTAACAATTATATATTACTCTTTCCATGCAGGTGATTGATTCACATTTTGAATTAATCTAGATTTAGACCAAAACTGAATAGAAATTAAAAACAATTGAATGAAGGTAGTCACAATTAAAAATATAAAACATGTTCTTTTTTATAATTAATTTGAACCTTTCGGATTAGGTAATAAAAAAGGTGCCATAAAGATTTCCTTTTTTAATTTCACTTCTTATAAGAAAGGTATTTTACTTTTGTTTTCATTATTAAAGAAATTTTTAATTTGCATATTTATTTAAAATATTTATATTTTAATACGTTTATAATTCTTAAATAATAATTATTGGAGCATATACTACGTCCTAATAATGATTCCACTGCATGTCATAATACTTTATATTATCTCACAAATATAAAACAGTGTTATTATCCAAAAATTTCCACTTATAAGGTGAATTTGACTGTCCCTATATAGTTAAAAAAATATTTGCCTATTTTGAATAATTTAATAATAATTTTCATTGAACACGTTAATCATTATTATAAATTAAACTCACGATTATTAATTCAAATAAAATATAATCGATAAAAAAATGTAAAAAAAAAAGTAGTTGTTGATACTAAATATATAATATAAATGAGAAGATTCTCTTGTATCATTTTATTAAACACACATTAATTCAATAATAACGTATAAAATAATGTATCAAATTAATAGGATATAAACAACAAAATATCACACATTAAATAACATTAAAATAAGTATAACTTATTACTTAAAATATTTTATAAAAGCTATATAAATAAGAGTTATCTCCATAATATTTTCTTATATAGACTTCAATATTATAATTAATAAATTTTCTTTTATTTTTAACATTTAATAAAATTCAATCAAATAAATTTCAAGTCCAAGTGAATCTATCTTAACTGGTGAACCTATTTTTTATTTTATTTAATCAGAATTATATATTGATTAATATCAATTAATTTTATGATAATCATTGTTTTAAAATTATAATACAATTCTTTAAAAAATATATAAAACAATTTAATGCTTACTATTTTGAAAAGTGTTAAATTTATATTGATTGAATAATGGATTTATGTAAAAGTATTGTATACCTAAAAACTAGGAGTGATACAAGTGATTTATGCTTAGAAACTTGGAGTGATACAATAACTTTGTAATTGATGAATTTGTACGTAAATTGATGTTTTATGGTAGATTTAATTTATATAGTTTATTTTGAATTACCAACTAATTTTATAATTTTTTTCTTTATTTTATTATTATTATATTTTTATATAGAAGTAGATGACATAGATGATAGATTTTTTAAAAAGTAAGTCTAAAATTACTAAATAAAATTAACATATAAAATTGTAGAGAGGATTCTATTTAAAATAAAATAAAATACAAATATGTAAATATTAACTAAATTGAATTGTTTCTATGTTTTGGTTAAATTATATAATTATTTTTTGCATTCATTACTATTACAACTAAAATTTATTACTCTTAAATTATAATTTCATTAAATTAGATTGAATTGGTATTCAAGAGTTATTATTATTCTATGGTGAACTTAAAACATTCCTAATAAAAATGTACTATTGTGAATATTGTGAAGATTTATAACTTGATGTTTATATTAAACACTCAATTTAATATAAATTGCACCAGCAATATCACTACAAGAAAATCATGTATTATCGACGGATATTTACCGATGGATTTGTAGTTGTCGGAAAATAATCATTACCAATAGAAATTACCGACGAATATAAAAATTTGTGGAATTTGATGTTACCGACGGATATATCCGTCGATAAAATAATAATTAGTTACCGACGGATATATCTGTCGGTAATTTATAAATGAATTTACCGACGAATATATCTCGTCGGTAAATCGGTCGATAAATTAACAATTAATTACCAGACGAATATATCCGTCATGTAAAATTATATAATATAATTTAATTATTCACCTAATTAAAAAATAAAATATTTTTTATTTAATAATTTAATTTAATCATAATTAGATTAATTTATAATAATTTATTAAATTAAATAATTTAAAAAAATAAATATTTAATTATATATATATAAATATATAAATATACCAATTTAAATGAATATAGAAAGTTAGAAAATGTTTAACACACATTTATGACAGTGACACACAAACAAACTAAAATTACACGAGTCTCACTCTTTTTTTCTTTAGTTCTCAATTTAAAAAATATTTTATTTATTTATTATTTATGTCGTTTAAGATTATATTAATTGTTTTTATTATAAAATGAAAAATAAAAATTTATTATAAATAATTTTGATAAATAAAATATCAAAAATATAAAGATATTATTGAAAAACTATCAAATTTATTATAAACCATAAAATAAATATTTAGAAAAAAAAACTTAAACCACACATATTAAAAAATAGAAATAATTATAAGACTAAGGTGATATCAATTATTTAATTTATCACTACTTATAAGCATGATTAGTTATGATCTAGCATCTATTTTAACGATTTTTTTTATATTTTTAACAGAAATAAATAAAAAACAATAATTTCACATAAGTTAAAAAATAAAAGGTTCAAAACTTATATAAAAACGTTTTATAATTAAATTATATATATATATATATATATATTTCAAATGACTAACATGTGATAAATATGTTATTCAAAGTCACTTTAATTGGAATATCGTAATTTTTATAATATATGGCTCGTATGTCATTTTATATATATAAAAATATAATTTTAGTTCATAAAATAATAATTTTAATTTTTTATGCATCATCTTCTTACATTATTGCGGGAAAAAAAAATTGACATGTTTTTCTAATTTTTAATTAAAAAAACATTTTTTTTCTCAACCGTCCGCGTATGGTCCCAATAATTATGTGGTGCATGATACGTATCTATTCAACGTCCACCAGTTCATACACACAACCCATGCGCTGCCACCACACCTACGTGGCATAAATAATTTATTAAATGAAGTTGGTGATTAAATAATATTGATAAAAAAAAAACAGGATCAAATTGTTAAAAACAAAAAAAAATATTGAAATCATTTGAATGAAAATCTAATTCGTATCTACCCTATCCCTTTATATATATATATATATATATATATATATATATATATATATATATATATATATATATATATATATATATATATATATATATATATATATATATATATATATAATAGTCTAGTTAGGTTTAAATAATCCTTTCAATATTTTATCTTTAAAAATATATTAGGTCATGAGAAAAAAATATACACAACGTATTATTGATTCTATAATATATTATTAAAAAATAATAAAAAAATTTAAAAAAATGAAAGAAAATAAGAAGATAAAAAAATAAAATTATAAATATATAAATAAATATATAAAATAATCATTAAATTTGTGAAGATAAAATTATAAATTATACGAGAGTTATAAAATTTAAAAAAAAATGAGAGATTAAAATTGTAAATATACAAGTAAATATATTAAAGTTTGAAAAGACAAAATTATAAATTACATCAAAGTTACAAAATTTTGAAAAATCATTACCCCTTCAGTTCTAATAAGATATGACACTATATATA